GCAGGTTCGGCCGATCGCGGCCCCCACTGGCCGCGGTTCGCCGTCCCAGGCCAATGGGGGCGGCGAGAAGCGGCACGGGCGAGGGATGTGCTGGCCGCGGCTTCCCACCGCCCCCATTGGCCCGGGACGGCGAACCACGGCCAGTGGGGGCCGCGATCGGCCGAACCTGCCGCGTCAGCAGGTAAATAAAACTGGCCCGGCCCGCTAGGGTGCTTACCCTGGCGAGCCGCGTGCCAAATGTTGCCGACCCCTGGACTATACTGTGTTGAAGTTTGCCGTCTCTAGCTGCTGCTGCTACTCTCCTACCTACATGTCTCAAGTAATAGGTAATCCACAATCTCATTGTTACTTGCAGTCTGAATGTAAATCAGGTTCTCCCTTCTGACGCCCTCTCTGGCAAAGGAGAATTACTTCCAGATAGTGTTCTAACACTGCCCATCAAGTTGGATGGCAATGCTGAGCACGCAGCATCATTCTGATTGGCATATTTCCAAGGCTATACCAACTGCTATGTTCTACATTGCCATCTGCATTTTGTCGAGAGCCTCTGTTAGCTGACACCTTTGGGTTCATAACCACTGTGTTCTCCCTTACTTATACCAGTTGTTGACAGACATCCCTGTTCTACTTATTGAGCCTTTAAATCTCTCTCAAAATATTATTGGCTTTTTGGATTGACATGTGCCAAGTAGGGGACCTCTCTCTGGCCATATTCTAGCAACACTTACATGACCATTAACAGTAAAGTTAGCATTGTAAAGCCCATTCAGCTGTTTCAGGCCTGGGACATAATAGCCAGGGTCCAACACCGTGCAAAAAAGACGTCAAGTACCAATAACAAGCACAAGGTAGTAGGGCAGTGCCAAGGAAATGACAGGAAATTATACCTACAGACTGTAAAATACATGGTAATCCTGGCATGGTTCATTGGAAGGATGCATATGTGGGGTAGCTAATAGGTTGAAAGGTTATCATGATTAGACTAGGGCAGGGGTCTCAAACACGCGGCCTGCGGGGTAATTTTCTGCGGCCCGCGAGCCCCTCGCAGGCCCCCGCCCTCCCCAGTGTTTAACAGAGCGGCAGCCAGATGTGCACCGGGAGCAGGGCAGGCTCCCTGCCTGCCTGCCCTGCCCTGCGCAGCTCCGGGAAGAGCCTGGAACGTGGGGAAGGGGGGCAGAGGGGCTGTGTGTAGCTGTTACTTCAGGCAGCGCCCCCAGCAGCTCCCATTGGCCGGGAACGGGGATCCGCGGCCAATGGGAGCTGCTGGAGGCGGTGCCTCAAGCAACAGAAACACACAGCCCCTCTGCACCCCCTTCCCCACGTTCCAGCCTCTTGCGGGGGCAGGGCAGGCAGGCAGGCAGGCAGGGAGCCTGCCCTGCCCCTGGTACGCGCTGGGCCAGATCCTGCCCCCCGA